TGTGCTCAGGTCAGCAAAGCTGGAAGCCTCCTCCTCTGGCAGCTTTTCAAACTCCCCCTTTTCCACCCACAACCAAAGAGCTTTTACCAACTCCACTGCAGAGGGTCAAACTGTTTCTATTTCTTCATTTCCCATCTTTTCACCTAGATCGGTGGTCGGCAAACTGCAGCTCGTGAGCCACATGCGGCTCTTTGGCCCCTTGAGTGTAGCTCTTCCTAAGCCTTAGGAGTATCCTAATGAAGTTAATAACAATGTACCTACCTATATAGTTTAAGTTTAAAAAATTTGGCTCTCAAAAGAAATTTCAATCGTTGTACTGTTGATATTTGGCTCTGTTGACTAGTGAGTTTGCCGACCACTGACCTAGATCCTTTACCCCACATGAACTCCAGCTGCACCATTCATTCTGCTGCGTTCACAGAAATGATGTCTTCCAAGAATCAAAGCATAGGCGCCTTTATTTAAGAAGCAGTGTGCAAGTGAAATGGGACTCTTATTAGACAAATTAGAGACACATCACTTAGCTGGCTTCAGACTGGGCTGTTTGAGCAGCTGGCAGCCCAAGTTCCCGGGGAGCCACTGCCCCCTTGTGTCTCAGAGCTGGCTATGAATTAGTCCATGACCGGGAAGAACGTTGGTGAGCTATTTCTGGCTCTTAGATTTATTGGTACAAGTAAGATTTCCTTTCATCTCATGGCTTTTTGAATGATAACTTTTCTTCCCACGGATTTCTATAAAGGCATAGTTCATTATAATTATCAAAATAATGTATAGTTCTTGAAGGAAAATTTGTGTACAATTATTTAATTTTGTTAGTGTCTTGATGTATTTCCTCCCTAATTTTTCTCTCTCTCCATATAAGGAAACCTAGTTTTACTGGGAGTCAGGAAAAAAAAAGCCACAAGAACTATGAAATCTAATTTTATCATAAATGTCATGTAAACATGATCTCTTCTCCACAACAGGAAAATTAAGTTTGAGTTTGCTGGAGAACTAAGAAACAAAGTTGTCTTTTTCTCGGAAACAATATAAAACATAAAGGATAGTACTTAAGAGCATAGAACCTCATAAAATTTGGCTGTAATTTCAAATCTGTGGACTAAGATTACTGTAATGAATGCAACGATTCGACACATTAAATTGAACATCTCATTTTCAAGACAGATAAATAAAGCTTCCCTCCCTAAAGATGTGGGAGTTAGGAAATTGAGTAAACATTGCAGTTATTGGCAACTGCTCCCAAATGTAATTAGTCCTATCTCTAAGTGTTGTGTAGATATGCTGCCCCTACCCCCCAAAATATGGAAAATATAGAAACAAAAGCTTAGAATTATATTATAAGAGGAACTGAGTGGATACTTAATAAAAAATCTAAACCCAGTATAAGGTATGCTCCTAGAGTTGTTTAAGATCACCTAGCCATTCAGTGTTGTTCTCTTTTTCAGAGTAACAAAGAAAAAAAAAGAAATTCACTGTTGGGCAAGAGTCAAAACCTTATTTCCCTTGTGGTGTGTGGGCTGTGTCTTGGTTAGCTTGCCTGTTTTGGGGTAGGAAGGAAAGTCAGGGAAGTTAGTGGTTTTATTGTCATTATCTTATGAGGCCTTCTGGGCATTCCTACGATCAACAAATATGCTGGTCCCAGGCATGGGAGATGCCATGATGAGCAAGACTGGCAAGATCTCTATCCTCTGGGAGCTTCTGTTCTAGAAATCTCCATAGACCGTTGTAATATTCTTTTCACCGTTTACTTTGGGTGATTATAATTACTACATCTCACTTTTATAATGAGAACATTTTGGAGAGAGGAGGAAAAATGGAATTCTTCAATAAAGGATGGATACAAATCTGAATTTGCCGTACAACTCTGAGTGAGAAAATTCAGGTCAGCTCTGTCTGTACTACACAGCAATGGTGGTGAAAAGACCAGGTACTCATTTACCACGGAGAGTACATAAATGGAGAGCACATAAATTTTCAGAAAGAAATGTTTTGTAGTCCTTTTCAACACTTTAGATAGGTTTCTTTTCTAACCAAGTACTTCCAACTTAAGAATTTATACTACAGAATGTTTGCACAAATAAAGAATATGTGTACAAAGATGTTATTGCAACATTATTTGTGATAGTGAAAAATGAGGAATAACCTAAATGTCCATCACTAAGAAATTGCATAAATGAATTATGTTATGTTTATATAATAGAATACAATGCAGTCACTTTTCAAATAAAATAGATCTGTATGCACTGACATGGAAAACTATCCATGATATATTTGTGTAGGGTCAGGGATAAGTAAAAAAGGCAAGTTATTTTTTTAAGGTAGTGTTTTCTATAATAAAGCCTACATTTCAAGTGTTCTAAGCACCTTACACCTGTTATTTCAGTTACTCCTCACAAGATCCCTATGAAATAGGTACTATCATCATCCTCACTTTACAGATGAGGAAACTGAGTCAGATCATAACTTGCTCAATTAATGCATATATGTGACTTTGGGACATGTGCTTAGTTACTCTGTTATATCCAAGAAACAATTGACTCTCCCTTTAGCTTAGACTAATTTGACTTGGGATTCTCCTACTTTCAACCAAGAAAACCCTAACAATCCAAATATAGATAACAGAGACTGGGTAACTTATGGCATCCTATATAATAAAGAGGTAATATGCAAATTGACCACCATACCCTTGCACAAGATGGCCTCCCCCATGTGATCACAAGATGGCTGGCAGGGGAGGGCAGTTGTGGGTGACCAGGCTGGCAGGAGAGGGCAGTTGGGGGCAACCGGGACTGCAAGGGAGGGAGGGCAGTTAGGAGTGACCAGGCTGGCAGAAGAGGGCAGTTAGGGGTGACAGAGTCGGCAGGGAGGGCGGTTGCAGGTGACTGGGCTAGAGCCCCTGAGAGGGGTCCCAGATTGGAGAGGGTGCAGGCTGAGCTGAGGGACACCTCCCCCTGCCCCCCAGTGTATGAATTTCATGCACCGGGCCTCTAGTAATAATAATAAGTTGTTTTTAAAGAGAAGAAAGTACATCCATTGATGTGAAAACCCAAATAGAGGGAGAAAAGCAAGTTTACATGACAGGTGTGTGTGTGTGTCTGTGTGTGTGTGCGTGTGTGTGTGTGTGTGTGTGTGAGAGAGAGAGAGAGAGAGAGAGAGAGAGAGGAGAGAGAGAGGAGAGAGAGAGAGATTTTATATAGACACATATCTTAGGGAGAGCAAAAAAGTTAATATTGCTTACCTCTGGAGGCTAGGATAGGCAAGAGTTTCACTTTTTATTTTTATATTTCTATGTATTTTTTAATTTTCCAAAAAGCTTATCCTACTTTTATAAAACTTTTAGACCAAACATAACTATAGGAACCTGAAACCAATACAAAATAATATTGAAAGAAAACTATAATTTAAAAATAAAAAAATTACAAGACATTAATTTGGCACACTTATGTTGTACAACTTCCTGCTTCATTGCCTGTATTCCATGTGAGAACAGAGGTCTGGGAGCCTGGAGACCCAGGCTTCTAGACCAGGCTACTTCAAATGTGTTCTATAACCTTGGGCAAGTTGATCAGCTTTTTTGTAAGAAGGGTGCTTGAAGCCACAGTAACTACTATTGCAGTGGTTTCTATCTGCCAAGCACTGTGCAAAGCAGTTTCCTCACAGCAGCTCCATAAATTGAGCATTATCCCCAGTTTCCAGAGAAGAAAACTGAAGTACAAGTAAGTGTTGGAGTCAGAATTCGAACTCAGGTTTAGGTGACCCAGGAAGCCATACTGTTTCCACTGCACACTCTCCCAGACACCTCTTACCTCATGCCTCATGGTTTCCTGGTACTATAATCATACACTTAAACCCAGGACTTGATTCAAAACCCTCTACCTGGATCACATTATTATTCTAAATTAATCCCTGGTCACTTTTATTATTGTTTTGTTTATTCTTTATGTTGCATCAAGCTCTAAAACAGGGTGTCTCAACTTCAACATTTTAGAAAAGTTTGTTGTTTGGAGTAGTCCTGTGCATTGTAGGATGTTTGGCAGCATCGGTGCCTCTACCCACTACCTGCCAGTAGCATCCACCCTCCAGATGTGACACCAAAAATGCCTCTACACATACTGCCAAATGTCCGCTGGAGGCAAGTCACCCTGGGGTTAAGCGCTGCTCTAAAAGGAAGACAAGCCAAACACCTGCATTAACAAGGAAGGAAAACTGTTTTGAAAGGAGTTATTGAGCCCGGCTGGCATGGCTCAGTGGTTGAGCATTGATCTATGAAACAAGAGGTCATGGTTCAATTTCCCATCAGGGCACATGCTAGGGTTACAGGCTTGATCTCCAGTAGGGGGCCTGCAGGAGGCAGCCATTCAATGATTCTCTCATCATTGATGTTTCTCTCTCTCTCTCCCTCTCCCTTCCTCTCTAAGATTAATATATATTTTTAAAGGAGTTATTGAATCTAGTAAATATTTTTAAATTTTATTTTTTATCCTCACCTAAGGATATTTTCCCATTGATTTTTAGAGAGAGTGGGAAGGAGGGAGAGAGACAGAGAGAGAAACATCCATGTGAGAGAGACACATCAATAGGTTGTCTCCCGCAAGCACCCCAACTGGGACCAGGGATTGAGCCTGCAACCCAGGGACATGCCTTTGACTGGATTTCAACCCAGGACCCTTCAGTCCTGGGTCAATGCTCTATCCACTGAGCCAAACCCACCAGGGCATACATATTTTTACTTGCATAATTCTTTAACTTTACCAGCTCAGGTTACAGTCAGCTCCATGTATTTCAGTTATTTGCCATTTGCAGAACACGGTACTAGTTACATATCCCTATCCAAGATGCAGGGAGATGGTGAACGAAAATTAATCTTGCCTCTCAACAATGACTCCACTTCTCCCATCGTGAAATTCACCTTTTCTGGGGAGGAAATGAGCCACCCAGAGGCTGTTGCTGAGTGAGAATGGATAGTCAACAGAGAACAGCAATAATTGAACAATGCTGACTTTATTCCAACTAAATAAAGCAATGCACAAGCCACCTGAACAATAAGCTTGACTCAAGGGGCAAAAGCCAAGAAACAACCATTTTGTTTTGTTTTGTTTTTTGCTTTAATCATCAGTTACTGCACACGGTTGTCTTCCACATCTCCTCTCGGAAAACGTGAGTTAACAAATCTCATGCAAAGAAACATAGGAAAAGAGAAAAAGCGAAAATGCAATTCATCTAGTGTGTAGTTGAAGGTGGTTTCTCCAATTTCTCTTCTGTAAAATGCTCCATCAGCACGGTCCACTTCGGATTATTTTTATATCATGACCATCTTCCCTACAAATTGAACAACCATAAAAACACATTTATTACCTAGCATACTGACACTGTCCCAGTACTTATATTAAAAAGACCCATGTGAGCCTGTTCAGTATGGCTCAGCCGTTGGACATCGACTCAGGAACCAAGAGGTCACTGGTTCGATTCCCGGTCAGGATACTGGGTTGTGGGCTCGATTCTTAATAGGGGGTGTGCAGGAGGCAGCTGATCGATGATGTTTCTCTCTCATCAATGTTTCTATCTCTCTATCCCTCTCCCTTACTCTCTCTCTAAAAATCAATCCTATATAATAAAAGGCTAATATGCAAATCGACCGACCAGCAGAATGACCAGTCGCTATGATGTGCACTGACCACCGGGGGCAGATGCTCTGCACAGGAGCTGCTCCCTGCTGGTCAGTGTGCTCCCACGGAAGAACGCTGCTCAGCCAGACGCCCTGAGCCAGGCTCACGGCTGGCGAGCGCAGCAGTGGTGGCAAGAGCCTCTCCCACCTCCGCGGCAGCGTTAAGGATGTCCGACTGATGGCTTAAGTTGGGAGTGGGCCTAAGCCATCAGTCAGACATCCCCTGAGGTCTGCCGGACTGTGAGAGGGCACAGGCTGGGCTGAGACCTCCCCCCTCCAGTGCATGATTTTCATGCACCTGGCCTCCAGTAAAAACATATCTTTAAAAAAAGTCCTATGACTTTGTATATTATAGTCCTTCTTGGGCAATATTTATGTAATCATTTTTAAAGCTAAAAAAAAAATAAGGGTGAAAACCCCAACTCTGTCATTTTCTTCTCTACCCATAGGGTACAAGGCACTAGCCCCAAAGAATCACACTGAGAAGACCTGGGAACAGTGGTGGCGAACCTTTTGATATTTGCAAACATAGTAAAACAAAGACTTATATTTTTGATATTTATTTTATATATTTAAATGCCATTTAACAAAAAAAAATCAACCAAAAAAATGAGTTCGCATGTCACCTCTGACACATGTGTCATAGGTTCGCCATCACTGCCTAGGAAGCTCACTGAAGACTGAGGTCAGAGAATGGACCCCTGAAATGCAAAGCAGCATACCTGAGAAGAGTCACAGTCCCTCAGCCAGGCATAATACATTTATGATTTAGCATTCTCTAGGTAAAGTTGTTAACATCTATTGCCCAACTAATGCTGCAGGTTACACAGGTCACCAGCACATGCCCTCTGAATTCAAAAGAACATTTAATATTCCACAGAGTTTAACTATTAAATATACTCTTAATTTTGGAAGATCACCCATCCATGGATAGTAACATAACTCGATTATCCGGTCTACAGTTGCACATGTCATTCTCCAACTTCAATCTAAACAATGCACTGAAGGATTCTGGTATATTTTTTTTTAATATATTTTATTGATTTTTTACAGAGTGGAAGTGAGAGATATAGAAAGTTAGAAACATCGATGAGAGAGAAACATCTATCAGCTGCCTCCTGCACATCTGTTGCAGGCGATTCTTATATCCAAGAAAGGAGCCACTACTGCGTAAGTAATCAAAATTCAAGGACAAAAGAAAATGTGGCCATTCTACACTGTAAAAATATGTTACCTGATTTTCATGCACAGAGTACACTCGTTGGCATAAGTGGACATGTCGCTTCCACATACAGGGTTAAAGTCTCTGGGACATCCTGGTAATCTATATTGATTACAGTTTGGCTAGAAAAGAGAAAGGAGAACAGAAATTAGAGAGCCACTTGAAACACCTAGATTTCCTAGAAACACCCTTAAAAAATCTATTTTACACACACACCAAAAAAAATGATTTTTCTAATGCAAAAATCAGACGCAATGTTAAAACATTGGTTCAATACCAATGTAAATAAGAAAAGGTTAGGTTGTCTGATTTTTAAATGGAAGTCCAAGGCATGCCACCATTTATTATCCTCTAGCCTCATAATTAGTACTTCATTACTATTTCCGTGTGAATATTCTATTACAGGCACCTTAATCCCTTGGCATAATGCTGAGACACACTCAGGAATCTAAGCTTTTAGTCTGGACTTTTTAAGATACTGGCATTTAACCACCAGCACAGAAGAAAGCAGCATGCCCTGGCTGGTGTGGCTCAATTAGTTGGGCATCATCCCCTGAGAGGTGGCTGATTTGATTCCTGATTACAGCGCATGCCCGGGTTGAGGTCTCGATCCCCAATGGGGGGCATACAGGAGGCAGCCTGATTGATGTTATGCTCTCACATCAATGCTTCTCTCTTCTCCCTTCCTCTCTCTCTAAAAAATCAATAAACTATTCAAAAGAAAGGAAGAAAGAAAGAAAGAAAGAAAGAAAGAAAGAAAGAAAGAAAGAAAGCAAGCAAGCAACAGGTTCAGAATGAGACCTTAAGGGTTGTTATGGATTGAATTGTGGCCTCTCCAACAAGATATGCTAAAATCCTAACCTCCAGGATCTCAGAATGTGATCTTTTTTGGAAATAGGGCCTTTATACAATAATCATTTTAAAACAAGGCTATTACAGTGTGTCCCAATTCAATATGACCGATGCCCTTATAAAAAGGGAAAATTTGGAGAGAGTCACACAGTAAGGCAGTGGTTCTCAATCTTCTGGCCCTTTAAATACAGTTCCTCATGTTGTGACCCAACCATTAAATTATTATCGTTGCTACTTCATAACTGTAATGTTGCCACTGTTATGAATCGTAATGTAAATATCTGATATGCAGGATGGTCTTAGGCGACCCCCGTGAAAGGGTCGTTCGACTGCCAAAGGGGTTGAGAACCGCTGCTAAGGGAAAATCACCTGAAGACTGAGAGAATACCATTTACAAGCAAAGAAATGGCTAAGGCTACTAGGTACTAGGAGAGAGGCATGGAACGGATTCCCACTCCAACCAACCCTGCCAACACCTTGATTATGGACTTCTAGCCTCCAGAACTACGAGACAATCAATTTCTGTTGTTTAAACCACCCTAGTTCATAGTACGTTATCACAGCAGCCTGAAGAAACTGATATGGGGTCATGGAACTCATACCTCTGATTTGATGGAACTGAGGCCAGAAAGGTACTATGCCTTGCTCTTAGCCACTAGTGTCCAGCAAGGACAGGACTGGAACTAGTCACCATGATAAGACTATGGTGCGCAGAGTCCCACTTTAACAAAAGGTTAAATATATGGCCTGCTGTGTTTCTGTAAAAAAAAGAGAGAGAGAGAGAGAGAGAGGAGAGAGAGAGAGAGAGAGAGCGAGAACCCTTCAGCACGAGAGAGAGAGAGAGAGAGAGAGAGAACCCTTGAACGATGCAAGGGGGTTAAGGGCACAAACCTCACATGCAGAATAAAAGAAGCCACCAGTTTTAACGTTCTGAATAAATGAAATGCATCTTTCTATTGATATTATCTGGGTTTATAAAGACCTAAGAGGGCTGGCCATGGGCCAAACTCTGAAGGAAAAGAGGTCTTGTTGGCCCTTGCCATCCTCTGCTCATCACACCACGCTTCACCTAGGAGCACGATGTGTTCTTGCCACACTAGGCTCACTAAGATGATGCCATCTAGGACTGCTCTCACAGGCACAGGAGATGCCCTCTTATCCAATGAGATGGGGAAAAGTGGTAGTTGATCATTTAATTGAAAAAGTAAATTAAAACAACGAAACAATGATTAAAAAAATAATACATACTCTAAACATTTTATCCTAAAACATAAGTGGAAATAAAACTGCCCATCTTTTTTTTTTAATGTTTAAAGTATTACAAATGTCTCCTTTTTCCCTGATTGACCTCTCCCTGGCCACTCCCAACCCCAAGCACATGCCCTCACCCCCCTACTGTCTGTGTCCATTGGTTATGCTCATATGCATGCATATATGATCTCTTACCCCCACTTCCAACCTCCCCTGCCTTCCCTCTGAGGTTTCACAGTCTTTTCAATGCTTCTGTGTCTCTGGATCTATTTTTGTTCATCAGATTATGTTGTTCATTATATTCCACAAATGAGATCATGTGATAATTATCTTCCTCTGACTGGCTTATTTCGCTTAGCACCATGGTTGGCAAACTGCGGTT